TCCGCGCGGCATTTTCAGTTGGCTTAATCTCTTGTGGCTTCAGGGCCTCGTTATATTTGTTTAGGTGATGTGTTCACACAGGTGCATCGTTATCACACACCACACAGCACACACTTGATCGTGTTTTTTTTAGAAGTCCATTTACATGAATTGAACATTAAAAAATGACCGAAGAAATAACGCATTTAAGTTTCAATAATCTTTAGTGTGTGTGTGGACACTAATAAACGTGAAGGGGTACTTGTAATCAGGTTTGTTTTTAATGTGGTACGTTATCTGCGACATTCATTGCGAAACTGTTTGTACCAGCGAAATTTCAAGTCAATTATAAAATATATATTGGGATTTTTAGATCCAGATCCAGTGAACTGCATATGCTATAAATATATATATATGTACTGATAATATTTTGACCCTATATTTTAAGGTAAGAAATGGATTTCTTGTCACAGCAAGGATAGATATTTCTTTATTAGTAGCTCTGTACATGAGAAAGTGACCGATACGGTTGGTGTGTGTGTCTTAGTTGAGACTTCCTGTGTGCGTCCTTTGGCGTGTCTTTTGTGTTAGCAGGGTGTGTTCTGCTGCAGGTCCATAACGTGCGGGGAGGTTGTAGTCTGTATAAGGCGCACCACCTTGTTGTCTCTCTGTGGAGGCTCTGAGCTTCTATTCCTTGTAAGACGGCAGTATGGCGTTGGAGTGGCCCACGAAGCCTCTGGAAGGGCGCCCGCCCAGAGCGTTGCGGGACACGCTGCCATGACTAACACACTTGTCCTCGTCGTCTCCGTCTCGGCGCTGCCCGAGAGTCGTTCTAGTCGCTCGTATGCGTGGCGTCTCTGCGCGCTCGCTTCAAACGCGCTGCGCTCGCTGGCCCGCCGTGCGTCGCTAGTCCCCCGATTGATACTCCAAAACTCTCTGTACCTGACTCTGTTCCTCTCTTCCCGGCTGCACTGCTGTTCGAGGATAAACTATGTGTGATGCCCTCTCGCCCCGCCCATTCTTGAGCTTGTAGAGGATTCATTCTAAGATCCTGTCGTACGCCAGCTTCTGCTTGAGAGCACTCCTGGATCTCTGGAAGTTCTGTGCGCCTAAAGCTGGTTGAATCCATGCTCTGTGAGGAGTTAGCCCGGCGTGTGTGAGGCTGACCGGTAGTCCGCTCTCTATTCCCGAGACCCGGCAGTGGTCAGCCTGCTGTCTGTCCTGTTGTTGTGTGCTGTTGCTTGGCTTTGTTTGCTTGCCTTTTTTTTTTCCGCCGTACAGTGTACGCAATACGCTTCGTGGGGCTTTGGGGACCGACCAGGCGCCCCCTAGGCTGGCCCTCAAAGGGAACATCCACTGAGAATGTTGAGGAGAGCTGCAGGCTTACGACCCCCAAGGGAGACAGAGCGTGCGAGCGAAAACACGTAGCCCGAAGAGGGCTAGAAGAGATTTACAGTGGGTATTCTCCTTTGGAGTTGGCGTAAAGTAAGGAGACAGGCGGAGATACCAACTGAAGTTTATTTGCTGAAGGACTACGTCACTGGGGGCTGAATATAAATGAGATGCCACCCTTCTCCTCTCGGTCGTGTCCAGGCCCACAGCCTTGCTTCAGGTATTGTATTTCTAACCAACCCCCCCCCCACCCAGCCTAATACCCGCAGCTGCATTGAAGAACGCCTATGGTAATGGTTGATTTTGATGTTTGTCACAACTGCATAATGTTTCAATAAATCATGAGAGAATGCTTCCTGTATCTGCTCTGTTCTTTCTCACTCAACGTCTCTTTCACTGTCAAAAGAGAACAGAATAATAATCCATTCCATAATTACTGTCGCTGCAGTCAGTGAACTGTATACTTTACTTAAACAAAAACTAAATGTCACTACTGTAAATTGTGGACACCACAGAACATACTTTGATTTCCAAAGGGCATTGTCGTTTGGAGATTTGGCTTGGTGTTTTTCTTCCATCAGTCAGGGGCACATCTGAGTGGACTTTATATCTTTGAAAAACAAGTGCACATCCAACGTATGAAGGCAACAAGTGTGAGCCAGCATTATTGAAAATGAAGATGTATAACAAGACTCCAGGAAGTGCAGTGTTAACAATTATTTTAGCTAGAATGAAGTCCTTCTAAATTCTTTTCAACTGGACACTTCTGGGATACATGCGACCCACCATCATGGAATGAAGCAGTTATCAAACAAAACCATCAAAATTTGTATGAAGCTCATGATAGGCCGATCTCAATCCTAAATCAGGACCACTACACTCCAGCTATGATACGCTAATTATATGCACATTAACAGTATTGACTCTATAGCGTGCCATATACATCGCTGCGGCCTCGCTCGAGTTTGTGGTGTAGGGAGCCAGCTCACTTTAATGCTGCGCTCACATTACAGTTTAGGAACTGGGGTAGTATCTATAGTAACGCAGTGTAGGCGGAGCCGTGACGTCATCTTCAATGAGCGCCCCAGAAAAACAACACAGCCGTTAGCTGTTAGCACTCAGAGCTCACAGCTCTTCATATCTGTTCAGAAACTAGACAAAAGTTAAACAAGTACAAACCACAGACTGTCTGTGTCATGGCGAATACAGTCGCTGGTTTATTTATGTCTGTATAGGCCGTTGTTGTGAGTGTGGACGGTCGGAGCATATATAACGTTAGCTTAGCCAAGCTCCATTTAGAAAACACGCATTTTAAAAGGTTTTTCGCCTGCCGTCTGTCTGCAGACTTGTCAAAGCATTAATTCATGGTTTTTACTATCCGGTATCAGTATGTTGTTACTTCGGCATCATTTTGAAACGTGTATTACAATTAAATCACGGTAAAATATGTTCATCTTGTTGTAGTTGTAGCCCCCTTGCCAGCGATTCTCTCTCTAGTTTAGCAAACTCAGCCCGACTCAGCCCTGTTTGTTGGCCTCGATAGAACCACGATTTAGTCGGGCCAGAAAAAAGGTGAAAAAGTAGCCCCGGGCCGGAAATAGGCCAAGTGTAAGCGCAACCAAAAACAGGCCCCGCACGGCTCGGCACGCTTAAAGCGAGCTCCGCGCTGTAGTGTGAATGCGCCATTATACTGCTTTTGATTTGTTCTGTCTGTATACTTTTTAATCTTTAATATCATAACCTATATATTTTTCTCTTCTGACATTACCCACATGGATTGCTTACATTTAATTCAGAGTGATGCAATGTGCTCCGATGACAAATACAAACAACAGTACACAGATAAACCTGGAAATTGTGGTTTTCAGGATATGGAGGCAGTTAATGGAGGTGGTGTTTGTTTCGTCTACCTCGAGCTCCCAGTAGTGTGTCCCTGATGAACTGCTCCAGGTCCTCAGCTCGTTTATGAATCCTGTCCGCATCGTCCTCCACCTGCTCTCCGTCAGCAGACACCTTAGTGGCCTAAACACACACATGCACAAACACACGTCGTAAAATAATAATAAACAAGTGTTGAATAAGTGAACATATTGACTTCTGTCTAACAAACGAAGGGAAGAGACGGAGGTCTTATAGGTTTGACGGAGGAAGATGGCAACACGTACACATATAGAATCAATAGTATTGCGTGTGAGCAGTCTGGTCTGTTATCTGTCAGTTTTTCAATTATACATGTGCACTCAAATACTGCAACGTACTGTACACACATAGATACATGAATTATTGATCTAAAAAAGAAAACATATAAATCAAATATTAACGCACACACATAGATGGATGATTCTTTGACAGATATGAAAAAGCATCATAAGACACACACATACACACAGAAAGAAAGAAAGAGAAGGTAATTATTGTTGTGATTTGACAGGACCAGGCTGTATCATTTTCACTAGTGTGTGTGTGTGTGTGTGTGTGTGTGTGTGTTTGTGTGATGGGCCGTGGGAGATAGCGCTGCTGTCAACAAATGTCAAGGCCCCGGCCCCTAAAAGGGTGTAGCTTGACAGCGTGAATGTGAGTGTTATTTTTCTCCACTTGGCACTTGTCGACCCCCTGCACTCAAGAAATGTTTTTCCATTTAGGTGAACTCCTCTTAGAGACATAGCTGTGAATCCGAGCATTTTAAAGTAAAGGAAATAAAAGTAAAAATTAAAGTAAAAGTTTATATAGTTTTTTTATTCTGTATGAGAGTGAAGACATTCGTTTTGGCTGGATATACTTTTAAGATACTTTCAAGCATTAATGGGTTCTCAATTTGATCTGCCATGCAAAGGCCTTCTGTTTACAGATCTATGGAAACATGGTAGGGTTTAAATGACAGTGATCCCGGTCTAGATTCAAATTCTTCCATTATATTGTTTCATTATGTTGCCCAAGTTTATTATGCATGTGATCCTTTAATCAAAAACTTGATTTGGATAGGCATGGTATAAAATGATGTTGACAACTACTATTACAATGGTGTTTCTGATGTGTTTTATACACAAGGGTGAAATTGAGCACAAAGGTGGTGGGATTCACATCCTGTTTTCAACATTATTCTGCTGATTGACAGTTGGAGGCGTAAACAGATAATTGGCAAAGGGACTTTTATTTGGCATCCCTACAGGATACCTTCTTCAGTTCATAATCCAAATGAGGGGGGGTCGCTTTGCTTAAACCGAGTTCTCAGACAATATATTAGCAATGTTACATATATTAAATGTATTTGTGTTCGGTCAACTGACCGCAATGCAAACCTTGGGTCAGGTGGTATTGCAGAAAAAACGGAGTGTTAACTGGTGCCAAAAATGTTATTTCAATTTTTAAAACTAAAATAAAAAGCTGATGTTCAGGGTTTCATTGGGTTTCCTCAGGTTTCTGTTAAAACTTTAAATATGTTTCTGACATTTTATTGATATGTTGGTGTATTATTATACAGATATAAGTGTATTATTTGATGTCAATCAGCATGCTGCAGCAAGCTACTGGCTGGACTGGTTTTTGTCTCTTGTGTCATTGGTGTACATTAGTTTTGCTGTTAACTATGATCTCACTGCAGGCCATTTACAGATAGAGGGCATAATCCGAATAAAGACAGAAAGGAACACAGACTTAAATTGAGCTAACAGGAAAACAAAAGTGTGTACCCTGCTGTGTAGCTGGTCCATCTCAACCACCAGTGATCCCATGTTGGAGTCGGCCAGCTGCAGTAATCTCTCCGGAGCTTTCTGAGGTGACAGCATGTGCTGCAGGAGAGAAACAGAGATGAAGGAATTACACAGAGCAATGTCTGACACATTTTGGCTCAGGGCTAAGCTTTTGAACTGCCTGGCTTTGTGCTGTAGAGCCGGAGAGAAGAAATAATTAAAGAGAAAAACAAAACATACTAGAAGGGCTCTTGGAGAGAGAGCAGCCAATACCATCTCTAGCAATGTTACTTAAAGTGAGAACAAACAGCCATGTGATCTGATCTGCTCCAAAATCGAACTGGTTTTTAACTGGCCCACTCTCACACTCTTCCACAAACGAAGACGTTTTTACTGTATGATCCGTTATCCATAATCCAAAAAACAACAACTAACCTCTGTGGTAATAGAAGACAAACTATTTGAATATGTCACAGCAAACATAGTTAACAACGTCAATTGTTTAAAAATATGTGCAAATGATCACGTTTTATGATATCAATTAGTTCTATACACCGCAGCCAATGGTGGTGATTATCAACACGTCAATTGAGGAAATTAAATAGAAAGTTATGAAAGCCTTAACTGTATAATGAGTTTCCATACAGGCAAACAGTTGTTACCTTTAGTTCCTCCGTCATGTTCTCAAAGCGGTACAACACCTTATAAGGTGGTGGGAGGGGCGACGTCAGGGTGACCTCAGTGATGATGCGGTACAGGCGGTCCATGTCACTGATCAACAGACCCGAGCACTCATCATCACATGCTGCAGAAACAAACGTAAACACACAGTTAGACACAGCTAGAGGCAAATGAAGTCAACTGAATCTATTAGAGAGGTTTGCTTGGTTTTGTGTGTGTGTGTGTGTGTGTGTGTGTGTGTGTGTGTGTGTGTGTGTGTGTGTGTGTGTGTGTGTGTGTGTGTGTGTGTGTGTGTGTGTGTGTGTGTGAATGTCTGCTGCAGTTTGACTAGGCAGAGAGCAGTGACAGAAGAAGAAAGGATGTCATACTGTATATGTGTATTTTAACTTCTGAGTGTGTGCCTTATTTGTGAGTCTGTAAACACATCAGTGTGTGATCGCAGTGACTGCTTGTGTTTTGTGTTTAAGTGAGTGGCAACAGAAAAACAGGGCTGTCGATGCATGAAATTCAGCGCACAGAGGAAAAAGAACCTATTATGAGTTCACACTGCAGGCTAAACACACACAAACCAACGCACAAACACACGAGGGAATTCACTTCAAATGAGCGCATTCACATTTGTTTTCTTTATTGTGTGTGTGTGTGTGGAGTTTCTCTTCTCTTCTATAGCCCGAGGCTGATTTATTGCAGAAATTAAAATGTTTGACAAGGGAAATCAAAGATGAATTAAATAAAAATAAAAACTGTTTTTACTCTATCAATCTCTGACAAAACCGGAAAATACAAATGCATTGATGCAGTCACACGCAGGTACAGTAGAGGTGCAGTACATTGTGTGTGTGTGTGTGTGTGTGGGTAAATAGCAATTTATAAAATCCAAGACATTTTAGAATCCCAGTTACAAAGGACTGTAATCACTTACTTCCACAAAGCGTGAAACCTCCTGATCACACTCGTGCAGGGTGTGATTGCACACAGAAAGCCTCACTTCCATCACTGAGGGCTCTCTGTGTGTCGCTGCTTGTTTCCTACCTCTACAATTTTTGGCAAGACAAGCCAGAGATTCTCAAAGTAGCTCCTTTCTGTCCTTCTCTTCTTGTTTATAACCATATGGTGAATGTCTCGCTACTTCTAAGTTTGCTTGGATAATTACTGGGTTGTTCCACCATGCTAGGTTTTTACACCTTACTTTAAAAAACAAGAAGCATACTGTAAACACATTTAAATAGAAATACAAGTCTAATTGTAGTGGATAGGCAAGATCTCACCAGATTGACAAACACAACTACAATCTATGACATGTTACTTGGTCAAAGTTAAATGGATTTAAAATGCCATTTCAAAAGCTCAGTTGAACAAACTGTGTCACAATTATCTCACTTGAAATGGTGAGACTATGAGAGTAAGAGTTTTGATTGCAGTGCCAAATCTCAATGTTTATGTCCATTAATGCATATCATCACATTTTTACTTCACAGCATATCAAATATATAGAAGTTTAAAGTATCACAACCATGAAAGCTCAACGGATGCCCAAAGTAAGCCTCAGTGAATGTCAAGGATTATTTCACACTCAGTTTAGTAACCTTATGCTCACACAGGAAACTCAAACACACACATGCACGACATACAAGTGCAATAATACACACCTGTTCTCCTTATATAGTGAGTCACAACTCCTATGCATTTGGTTTGTTGCAGGAAGGACTAGTAACTCTGCTTTCTGCAGGGATTTATTTTAGCATCATCATTGTTACCGTGCAGTTTATGCCTGATATGCTCCTACTTTGCATCATGACTATACAGAAAAGTCAATTTGTTTTCATTTGTCCAGGTTGAGATAAAGACACAATGCTGTACACTTATTTTGACAAAGGCAAGAACAATCTGTTTGGTATAGACTGTAGGAACTGCATTTTAATAAGAGCGTACCATGTAGTTTACTCACATTTAAATATTTGCACGTTTAAGTCAGATTGCAACTTGTGCCTCAAAATATTAAATTAAACAAATATTATGAGGGGACACCATTTTCAAATATCTTATGGCTATGATTTTGTTTAAAATATGTCTTTAGCCATTTTCTGAGGTTATTAAACTTCCTGTATGTTTCATCCAGTTTTTTTACAATGTGGATGTAGGTAACATTCAATAACGCCAGCCAGGAATTCACATATTCAACATTTGCTCAGTTTGAATGCAAATTATGTTATATTTTAAATTTGAAATGAACCTGAATTTCCCCTTATTCAAGACTGCCGACTCCCTGCTTGGTGTCGTTTGATAGGACGGCAGAAAGGGCAAAACGCAGAGCAATTACTCTTCAACAAGTGCACAGCAGTGTGATCGCTCCACTCTGTAAACCATCAGGACTTGTGATTACAGTTTTGACGTAGAAGCGACCAGTTTGGAGTCCGGGTGCACCACAGCTCTCGCAGTACCAATTTATGAACACGCTTTGTGTCTGGACACATAAAGACCTGAGCAAGCAATTTCCTCCCTGACCTGACAGCAGCAATTTCACACTCAGCCTTATAACCTTTTTTCCTCTATATTCTCTTAGCTCAAGACATGCTAATGGCACCGAATTGGCCCTGCCATTATGGTCATATTAAATTTAAATTAGCTCTAAATTACATTGAAATTATATTCTAAATGACTTCAATCTGATTCCCTGGCTCCCATGGCAACCGGAGAAAATGTGCTCCGACTGCTCATTTGCATTTCATCGCCAAAATAAAAGAGCACAATATCAGATGACAATGCTGGGTGGTGGGCCGTTAAATAAAAATGAAATACAAGAAAGAGGAATGTCTGTGGGCCTGATCAATAACCTAATGACACAAAGAAAATGCATAACATAAGATCTTAGTTGTAATGCTATGATTGGGCGTGGCAAAGGTGAGCTCTGGGCACCTTTTGGGGTTAGTTTCTTCTTTAACACATTATTCTTCTATATACTTCCTATTAAAACTATTGGCATTAAGATTTATGTTCTCATAATATAGACCACTTTGTCAGTAAACTTGTAAGTTTCAAAGCTTAAGTATAGGCTCCAAACCAGAGAAGAAAGAAAGAAAGAAAGAAAGACAGAAAGGAAGCACCAACAATAGTTTAAATATAAATGTGTTAGTCTTACAGATGATGCCAGCGGCTCCACACACATGCCGGTCCATGCACTGGTCACATGACGTCCCAGATGCCCCGACCCTGCACCGGCATTGGCCAGTGACCGGGTCACATGGTCCGGGCTGCGCCCCCCACACCGAACACTTACACTCCTCGCAGTGGCCGCCGGGCATCCGCGGGTTACCGTGGTAACCGGTAGAACACCTGGACAGAGGTGAATCATGGCAAAGAAGGAAAGAGGTGAGTGCTATTGTTGCTAGCATTTAGAAATTGTCGTTTTTGGTTGAACACATAAAGGCCTTTTGATGAGGACTGGGAACCAATGAATCTGGTCGCAACACAAACTTTGTGTGAGAAAAAAAAATATTCCCTAAACTTTAACACTACAATCTACACATACTGTACACACCAACATTTTTTTACACACGTAGCATGATTTGTCCTCGGTAACACAGTTCAACATTGGTATTGTCAACTTTTCATAGGCAGTTGATTCATTCCACGTCCTATATCAAAATGTCATGTAAACATGTTTCTAATTATGATAGGGAGATTATGATTTTAGTGAGTGTTCCTTACCTCTCACAGTATTTGCCCTCATATCCCTCAGGACAGGCGGTACATCTGTAGTCATCGTAGCCCTCTGTTACACACGTTGGACTGAAACTAGACATGGAAAGATTTCCACAGAAAAAGCTTGTAAATACTTTCAGGGAGCATTTAATGAAAAAAAGTCTACATGTTTAAAATTGCAGCAAAAATAACCCGAATTTACATTAGAAAGGAGAATGACCAATATGTGATACACGATTGATACAACATTCTTTAAAATTCTCGTCCTGCTAGACATAAAAAAAAAAGATTAATCAGTGAAGAAGTTTACTTGTTCTCTGGGTTGGTGAGGGGACAGGCGCAGGGTTTACAGTCGTCATGGAAACCTCGGACCACACCATAGAAACCCGCAGCGCAGCGCTCACACCGATCGCCCTCTGTGTTGTCTTGGCACTTCTAAACATAAAAAAAGAAATTAATGTTACATTTGTGAAGATATTGCATTGTCTTTAATTTATTCTCCAACCCTACCATGACTCTAACCCTGGTGTGTGGATGTTACATGTTCCCATCATCCTCAGCTCTTGGTGTGTATGCAAAATGTGACCGTGTGAGCAGCTGGAGCATAATTACGCAAAAAACCCTCATTCTGCTTATCCTCAAAAGCTTTTCATCTTTAAACTAATTTTAAAATTAAATTAAGAGCACACTTTCATCTGCATGTTGTATCTGAATATTGCCACTGGCACAATGAAAGCGAGACACCAGATTTGTTTGAGCATAACAAAAAAGAAAAAATATTGGAGGACATTATTATAACTCTTAAGCAGTGTACAATCCCTTGTATGCGTCTACTTGTCTCAATTTGACAATGAGTAATTGAAAAGACGACAGACGGGGTCACCCATCACCCCCTCCTTCATTACTGACAAAGTGGCATAGGGGAGGCTTGTTTTTTGGCAAGTGAGATAATTATCCTGGCACCGCTGGTTGATTTACACCGAGATTAGATGACGCGTATAAAAAAGAAAAATAGTGGCATGCTGGTACTGTTACCTGCTCTCAGTTCACTTAACAATTTTGGATAATAGTAGCTGTTTTAATCACTGTGCTTCGCTGTAAGGTGGTACACACATTGTCAGTGACACAAAAAGTTATTTCAGTTTCAATCTCCTCAAAGCTGTCTGTTCCCCTAGATTTTCAGACAAATAGATGAAAACAACTAGCAATCAGGTGACTTTTTGTTATCCAGGAGAAAGTTGATTGAGCGGCCGCTGTTTTTACATGCATACAGATTCACACATCTACACTGTCACTGGAAAGTACCTGGTGTGATCGCAGCTGCTTCTGCAGTGCCGAGCATCGCTAGCAGCAGGGGAAGTGGTTGTTCATTTCTTTTTCACCTCCTACAGTTTCTAAACCATTCTAGGACCTTCACACACACACACGGGCATATCTAGCCTGGACTATTTCTGATAGAAAATGTAGTCGACACAGTAATAAATGTCTTTTGGGCTCAGTTCCACTCCTGCATGATGAGGTGATGTGAGACTGTAATCAGCAGCGGCTAGCTAGCTGTTAGCCGCCGGCTAGCTGTTAGCGACAGGAGCGATCTCACACATCAAAGAGTTCTCTCAAAAAAGGGGGCTTTCTGAAGTATTCATTTACTTTTTAAACTTTTTTCAAGGATAGCCACAAGGGTACAATGACAACATGACCTTATCCAAAATATGTTCAGTTTCTTTTCGGCTATGCTTATCACACAATGTTCAAACTAAAACAGAAACATTACCTTTTTCTGACAGATACAGTACCATGCAAAAGTGCAGAGTGTTCAAATACAGTACATTTCCACAATATATACACCCTGCATAGTAAAAAGCACAACAACACCCACACACACAGTCATAAAAGCACACACAATGTACACTCACACAAATATATGATATACTGTACACAAACACGCAGCCCTCTCTGTTTAATATCCCCGGGGTTCAGTCTTATGTGTTCGCCTTGTTTGTTGAAAATGGGAACTTCAATCAGTGGAACAGGAAGTTGCCTTCTAACGAGGCAAGTCATTTCCATTAACTTCCTGTGTTCCTCGTTACCACTAATTACCACAGAAACAAACTCGTTTAGCATTTTCAATTTAGCCCGCTCGGATAGAAAATGCTAATGACGCCGTTATAGAGAGCGAGATGGAAAAGGGCGAGGAATAAATGTCTGGGAGGCAGAGTGAAAGAAATCAAAAGCAAGGGAAGTAAGGAGGGAGAAAAACAAATTGGCAGACACAGAGAAATCCGGGAGAGGTGAGAGAGAAAGAAAGGGAGTGCAAAGGGAGATTGGGGCAAAACAATTAGAGAACTGAAGGTATAGAATAAAAAGAAACAAGGACGTTACAAGGAGGAAGAATCAAAGAAGGGGAATGTGTTAGAAAGAGAGAGGGAAAGAGGGTATTAAACACAGGAAATAAGCAAACAAAACCAATAAAATAAGGTAGACAGTGCTATTTACACCCGGGCATACATTGGATTATGTTTCTAATCCATTAGGTATTTTTGGAAATGTCCTTAGTCGTTGATAACTAATTGTGAATGTTGCTGTAATTACAAATACATAATTACAAAGCTTTCTCTGGTGTGGTTGAACACATCCAAAGACTTTGAGGTGGATAACAGCCAACGTATGTATATCAAGACAGCGCTAATACTTATTTATGATTATCATAAATATGATTCTATGTTTGAAAGTTAATGAATTATTGTTTAAATCCATACTTTCAAACAAAATGTCTTTAAGAACAAGATTCAAGCATTTTACATTAGGAATGTTTTTTATACCTGTAAGTGTTTTTTTGATTATGAGTGGAATAAATGATTGAACACTTTACATAATTCCTGATCCTTTTAGTTGTCATATATGTTCGTCAGACAGTAATCAGTCACACTCTGTCATGAGCGAACAACAAATCCCACACTCCACCTAGAGCAAAAGAAAATTGACAAATAATTGAGCTACATTGGACGCTTAGTTGTATTTCTTGTAAACAAATCTGCTTTCCAAAAAGTTGTAATAATAGCGCAATTACTAAATGAAGAAAGGTGAGCCATTCGCACTACCTGCAATATTTCAAGTCTTCAGAAAAATACTAATCATAAAAAAAGGGTATCAATTTTCAGAAAAGGCTCGAAGAGAAGGCAGCTGCCAGCATCTTCTTAGAGTTTGTTTACAAGCGTGTATGCCAGATAATTAAATGGGAACTCCAATTTGTCCAAAATAAGTCTCTGAGATGGATTTTTCTGTTTCGGTGTGAACCGTTTTTCTCTGTGGCCTTAAAATCATGGGGAAACAGTGAATTTATGCGAAGTCTGCCAGTTTTTTTACAGATCAAATATGAGCGCTGACCTGTGGGCAGCATGTGACCAACTTTTCCCCGGGGTAGAAGTCTTCAGATGGGGAATCAAAACAAAACTGACCAGATTGTGAAAAGGCTGGAAGTGACTAACAACTGGCATGTGCAGATTTATCCCACAAGCCACCAGTGTGATGTACGGAAAACCGACAGGCAGAATATCATGGAAACACACTCTCCAAACTTGCAAGTGTTTCTCTTTTCCAAGTGTTTTGCATTAAGTTTACTTGCACTGACTAAATAAATAAAATGTCAGAGGGAAAATAAGAGACATTTCAGAGCATTTAGAAAATCAAAATACAACAATTCCGTTGATCTGTCACTGTTGAGTACATGTTGTGTTGGGTTTATTTGCCTTAACGTGGTTTAATCTCCTGATAAGACCATCCTCTCCACTCTTTCCAAAAGTGAGGATGTAACTTTGGGTCAGATCCAGGGGAGAGGAAATTAAACAAAATATGAATGAGCCCCGGGGTCGTTCATTATTGCAGGGCTAATTACAGAACCTGACATCCCCCCCAACACACACACGTACACACTTTCTTTCTCTCATCTCACTCTCTTCTCCAGAAACTACCTGGCATATGGCAGTATGAGGGTCTCCAGTGGCTGAGCACACACACATACACACACACACACACACGCACTTACCTGGCATATGGATGTCTCAGGGTCACAGGTGGAAGAGTGCCCACTGCATTGGCATTGAACACAGCTGCCCATGCCGGCAGCGGTTGGCACTCTGGACGCAGGAGCAGATGCTGTGGAGCCGGAGCGAAGACGGTAAAAACCTGCAGCGCACTCCTATAGACAGAGAGAGAGACAGAGAGACAGACAGAGAGACAGACAGATAGAGAGACAGGAGACAGACAGAGAGACAGACAGAAAGACAGATAGAGAGACAGGAGACAGACAGAGAGACAGTCAGAGAGACAGGAGACAGACAGACAGACAGAGAGACAGGAGACAGACAGAGAGACAGAGAGACAGACAGATAGAGAGACAGACAGAGAGACAGACAGAGAGACAGACAGATAGAGAGACAGACAGAGAGACAGACAGAGAGACAGACAGACAGAGAGACAGACAGAGAGACAGTCAGAGAGACAGGAGACAGACAGAAACAGAATGAAAGGGAAAATTAGGGTAAACAATTAGATGTAGTTTTTATGGGGCCCTATTCTGCTCATTCTCAGGTTCATATTTGTATTTTGTGCCTCTACTATGACATGTTTACATGCTTTAATGTTCAAAAGGGTCTTTATTTTTCTCATTTCCACCCTCTGTCTGAAACCAGAGCCCAGTCTATTCTGATTGGTTAGCTGGCCGGCTCTGTTGCGATAAGTAAACTGCTCAGAGATGTCCCGCCCCTTAGGCTATCTTGTAAAATGTGTTGGAGCACTAGCCAATAGAAGTATGAGTGTTACATAGTGATGTCATTATGTGATGGAAAGAGCAAGAGATGGCATGTGTTCCAACAGTTATTCCACACTTTGCCTGATATTGGAACACACACACACACACACACACACACACACACACACACACACACACACACACACACACACACACACACACACACACACACACACACACACACACACACACACACACACACACACACACACACACACACACACACACACACACACACACACACACACACACACACACACACACACACACACACACACACACACACACACACACACACACACACACACACACACACACACACACACACACACACACACACACACACACACACACACACACACACACACACACGAGAACTACAGAAATGGATCCACACAATTATCCCTAATTGTTATTTCTCAAGGCAACTGTTGACCACTCCTCTCTCTCGTTCACACACATACCCCCACACACATACAATTAAGAGTTATTCCCTTCAGTAACTTTTGATCACACACATGCACACACCCTCCCAAACCCACTCACTCAACGCACACACACACAAACATGCAGATAAACACGCACACACAGAGGCATGCAAGGTAACTCTCTCTGCCTCTCTCTCCTGTTCAGTAATAATTAATGGAGTCCATTTAAAGAGCCATCTGTTCCCTCTGCTAGCGCTAAACGCCCGTTTAAAAATACTTTATTAACAACGACGGCAGCTACAAATAGAATGACCATCTGTCAGCCAAGACCTCTACGACCTGAACATTTCAAGTTTAGTTGCCGCTTGATATTTAGCTTGCATTTGGCAGTTTTTCAACGGTATCTGTAGCTCCTAAATTATGTACACGGCTCATTTTTTTCTATGACAATATAGATGTCTGTGTCTCTGCCCTCCAAGTTGCAAACGCCAAAGTGAAACAGAGGTTGAAAAATATAGTTTGCTGGCAACTCATGTGTCCCTTTGAGATTAAAACCATGCAGCAGAAATGCCCAGAACTGTTGCCCTTGTGTATCATAAGCTGCCACTACAAAATCCTCATTAAACTACAGATTGAGTCACTGCTATATGCTTTCTGTGGCTTAAGAGAAGGAGCTGGACGCAGCTGAAAGTCAATTGCTTTGACAAAATCAAAACTGAGTGGAAGAGACGCTCAGTGAGGCTTAATCCTGGCTGAAGAAAAAAAACACATAAGAGTCTGAAAGGCGTTGCAGAGGCTTAAAACTCTGAGCTAAATGTCAATTGGAAACTTGTGAGATAGTATTGAAAGCGGAGTGTGTGACCTCCATGTTTACATTCTGAAGGCAGCAGACAGAAAGCACTCACTCCTCTGAAGTACTCTGTAATTCATGTTTGGATTGTTAAATCCTGTTTTAACTTCAATATGAACACTATTTATTTTCGTTTCTGCAATATTAAAACTGTTTTCATGACTTGAATATTATGTATGTTCCAATTTTTTGTAGTTTGCTTTCGGCTGCTGCATTAAAGCAATTTCATCAAACTAATTATTACAAACACAGAAAGTAATCTACAGAAAATGTATTGACACAGTTATACGTTGATATTCACTGGCTATATTGCGAAAATTCACCTCATGTCTCCCAGTTTCATCCAACAGGTGAAAGGTGATTTTAGATTTTATTGTAAGAACATTTTAGCTTATCCAAGACTCTTGTTGGCTGATGAAAAAAAGAACTTACACAGAAATGTTTATGTCTTTTTTTTATCAATTCAGTATAGAGAACTGACTGGTTATTCATTTTTTAATTGTAAAATAACCTGCTGAGTATGTATCTTAATCACAATTCTATTTAAATTATTTTAGTTTCCTTTAAAATGAGGAGTTTCCAATGGTCGTATTTGCACTTATACAGTTCTGGAAGTTCTTCAAAACGATATTATAAAAAGCTTTTTGAAAATCCTGTTCAAGTACCTGCTGACTCCTGCAACAACTGATAACTGATTTCTAAGGAACACCTTTGGAAAAGTTTTATAAGGACTTCACACGTGTGCAGTGTTGCGTGTGTGAGGGTGTGTTCAGTAGAGCACCCACCTCACAGGAGAATCCGGAGTATCCGATTGGACAATCACACTTCTCTATCTGATGGGCTTTCAAGGTCTCTTTGCTTGGTCTGCCTTCCTCGGCCACCGTCAAACTGAGTTCTGAAATACTGGGGGAGAAAAAGTCATCATTAAGCATCCAATAATACAGTGAAGTACTATATAATAACAAGTATTTTATTTTGAGTTTTTGTTTGTTTTACTAACACTGGTTTGTTGGTAATAGGAAATTGCTATAATTTAGTTTCTTGCCTGTCATCATGTCAAAGAGGATACATGCAGGTATTTAAAAACAACTATATATGATGATTTGCAGAAGGATGTATGACTGTGGAAATGGCTTTCATTCTGAGATACAAATGAAACCTGTATTTAACACAGGTTATCCTATTTCATATTTAAGTGGCCACGCTGTGTGGAGGTGCATGTCATGCCATGGTGTGTGTGTGTGTGTGTGTGTGTGTGTGTGTGTGTGTGTGTGTGTGTGTGTGTGTGTGTGTGTGTGTGTGTGTGAGAATGTCTTCTGCAGATAGAGAGCAGTGAGAGAAGAAGAACGAATGTCATACTGTATATGTGTATCTTAACTTCTGAGTGTGTGCTTGTACGGCTTATTTGTGAGTCTGTAAACACAGTTTGTGTGTGTGTGTGTGTGTGTGTGTGTGTGTGTGTGTGTGTGTGTGTGTGTGTGTGTGTGTGTGTGTGTGTGTGTGTGTGTGTGTGTGTGTGTGTGTGTGTGTTTTACCGGCTGTGTCTCATCAAGTTTCCGTGAGAAGCCTTAATGAGGATATATTCCACATAGAACAAAACATCCATGAAGTCTTCTCGAGTCATGGACCTGCCATCTGCGTACTTCCACTCATGCTGTAAATACAAACGCAAACACAAGGACAAATCTATTTTATTACTGCAGTCTATGACCAATGTACCAGACCCTGTTTGTATGGACTGATAGACCTCCCAAAATTAAGTGCCATTAACTTTGATAGTTGGTATTTAATAGAAGAAAATAATTATATGAAACAAAACTGGTGGATGTGCTAATAGATTTGCACCACAGAGAGCTACCCTTTCTTTCTGTTCCATAACAGGCAGATTTTTCCTTCATTTATTTGAAATATTCCACTTTTATCCAAGCGTTCTTACCTCTGTCATGTCGATCTGATGGCGGGTGAGCGTGCCAATCTGCAGTCCCGGTATGTGCCGTGTCATCAGGATATTAAGGTTAGGACCGCCTTTAATGATGACCTGGGGCTCGTAGGACGAAGGACCGGTTTCCTCTCTGGCCTCAAAGTACACAGCATATTTCAACTGTCCACCATATGCTGTGATCTGGAGAAAGATGAAGGGCATTGATTGAAACATTAATAAGATTGCACTGATTGTCAAAGTTGGCTTGATTTGAGATAGATGTGTTGAGGAGAGTTGAGAGTTTCCTACCATGGAGCCTCTGAACTGCTCTGGTAGTTTCCAGTAGTACGGTTCAGAGAGAGTTGAGGTGAGCACGTCTGTGTGAGCGATGATCTCTGGATGCTGGAACGTCACTCCTCTCCTCGTCTCCACGGTGTTGGCTTTATCCACCAGAGGGAGCACCGTCTGCTCGGGCCTCAGCGCCAACTGGGATGCACAAAAGCAAACAATATGAAAGGTCACCTATTAAGCAAAATCCACTTTTTCCTGTCTCTTATACATCAACATGTGTCCCCTGTGTGTAAAGAGATTCTGAAAGTTTCAGGAAAAAAGTTTTTTTAAAACAAAAATACTTTTTGTCCTGATCCATTTCTATAAAAACCTGTCTGAAAATGAGCTGATCAGATTTTGGCCACTTTATGATGTCATAACGATTTTTTGGCTTATGTAACCATTAGCCAATCACCAACCAAGGTAACAGGTTAATTTGTGAGGTAGTACCTTTTGGACACAGCCTTATTTCACCATGTACTTGCCACATATCAGGTACATTATGTGAGAGTATACAGGTGTTTAGAATGGTGTTATCATTCATTTGAATACATTTAAAGTGTCCTACAATATCAAAGACCTGTAAATGAGGTGTAGAAGTCATGCGTGTAGCATCAGTGTATTTATTTTTTGATAAGACACACATACTCCCCCTCCCTCGTACTTTGAATTTGGCAGACATACTTTTCATTTTTAGCTGGGTTTTCTATCTTGTTACAGAACATTGGACGTCCATGTTTCATCTGTGGACCCTGAGGATTGTGAAACATCCCAACTAATGAGGATGGATCTATAAAGCTTTAAAAACTGCCAAAATGAAGGCACCTTTTATGGAAATATTTGATTGCAACATGACTAAATGCATTTTCAGCTCCAAACACTGTCAAGCTGAATGTCTGAATGCAGAAGAAAGCTTTCTGTTGCAACCTTTTTTTTGACAGTACAATTTCTGTATAGGTAAGTGACAAAATCGGTCTGACAACATTTTTAGCTCTTCAGCTGAATCTGAAGGCATTTATTAGCAATTATGTTACAGTACATAATGCATAACCAAATACCTATACTACCACAGCTTTAGTTCAGTCACACCTGAACAGTTTAATGTATGATTGTGTATTATATGTATTCTAGAAATTGTGTGACATTTCAGATATTATAGAATGATCAAAACGTTTTTTTTGGTTTGTATTTTTGCCTCGAAAAATGCTGCACAATTGACTTTCCCACGAGGAATGTTATGAATATCCTGTCCCATTATTTTAATAAATACATTACATATTCAAACATATCGTTAATAAGTCAACCCCGTGGTAAGTATATTTCAAGTTGACCATGTTTTTATACATGAATATGTGTCCCCCCGGTGTTCCAGGGAACTCACCAAGTGTCAGAAAACACAACCCTCTCTATTTTCCTCCATACCCAAATCTCTTAAAAAGGGGCTGCAACGGATCTGATACAGACTGATCCAGATTTGAACACTTCTATGACGTCACAGAAGTGGCGCTACGGCTATTGGGCCAACTCCACCAATCAGGAGGAGACAGCCACGGACATTGCCGTTCAAAAGCGCTGGAGACGCTCTAGTACATATGCCAGGCCTGTAGATGGTGCTGTTCTCACAGAATCAGCCCATGCAAAGACAGTGTTAAATTGAGCAAAATGAGGAATGGCTAAAATGCATGATCTGTTTGGTATTTTGAAAAATAAAAAGTATAAATATGCCTTATATAGGTATGGTCCTACACTATATTATTCAAATATAGCATGATAGGTCCACTTTAACTGATGAGAAACTACTTATCAAAACATTTAAGTATCATTTCTTTCCATATTTGAGATTTAGAACATCCCTCCCTTCTTTTAATGCTGTATGTTGTGTCAAATTTCGATTTCATGACATACATAAAGTTTGTGACATTTTCTTCCTGTTACTTATTATTTCATAGCTGTATCAAGCAAATTTCCCAAGAGAAACCTAGAGTATATAAATGTTGGAACTCAATTCATTTTAAGTTATACTTCAGACGGAAATGAGCTTTTTCTCATTCCACGTGTGACTGCCTCTCTATTATGCAGTCCGTCCAGGCTAAAGTAACTTCATATATTTCTTTTAACCAAAAAGCACTCTTCCATAATGCCTCAGATATTATTCACACAATATCAACATATCAGCTCTGCTGGACTACAGCATAGCAGAGACAGAGAAATCCAGACTGCAGCGGATTAATCTATTTTTGAATCAGTCCACTCAGCCACAACCTCAGTCAATAATAAACCCTCATATTATTCAAGTGATATTAAAATTACCAACATAAAAAGTGGGAGATAGAGAGAATGAGAGGAAGGGGCTGGATTCTCTCCAGACTGTCTCTTACACTCCACTATGTGATCATATTTCAGTTATTACTGACAGTGTCAACATCAGTTTCAAGATATATTGAGAATGGAAAGACGTTTATATCAGAAATAATATCTCAATATCAACCCTTGAATAAAAGAAGACAATTTCGCTAGAGCAATTTCTTAAGGAGCTCTAATAAGTTAATTTTCAGGTTCATATTTATATTTTGTGCCTCTACTGTGACATGTCTCCATGCTTTAATGTTCAAAAAGGTCTTTATTTTTCTCATACTGCCTCTTTTCACCCTCTGTCTGAAACCAGAGTCCAGTCTGCTCTGATTGGTTAGCTGGCCGGCTCTGTTGTTATTGGTCAACCACTTAAAGATGTCCCGCCCCATAGCATATCATGTACAATGTGTTGGAAGTTAGCCAATAGAAGTGTTTTCCTAGCGATGTCAAACAAATCAAACATAGACATTGAATACATTGCTGACCTTATTATCTGTTTCTGTTATTTATAAGTATTTGTTTTCATTCATGAAGAGTAAAGATATCATATTCTTATAAAGCTTGATTAACAGATAATAGTAAACCATTTCACATGTTCAGGCCTTTCTTTTTAACCTTTCCTTTATTTCTAACTCAGTCCTCTGTGACCGGATGAATTCAAAATGTACACGATAGTTTTAAAGAACATTAAGAAAATCCTTCCACATGTCCATCCTTTAAGAGTAGAGTCCTCTTGATGTTATTTTACTTTCTGTTAGCTTATCAGTGCTTTCATCTGATCTCAGTTCTTGAAAGATTTTTACTTCATTATACTAGTGCAGATCTTTACTGCAGTATTTAACAACCAGTCAATAGTCGTCCAATCACACAAAATGTTCTGCTATCAAAGATAACTAACACAAAATAGGCTGTGTGTGTGTGTGTGTGTGTGTGTGTGTGTGTGTGTGTGTGTGTGTGTGTCTCCTCTAACTGCTCCCTGAGGACGTGAGCTCTTTTTAAATCTGCAAGATGTCATGTGTGAGTGTGTGAGTGTGTGAGTCCTTGCAGTTTGTTTACCTTGCTTTGTGGAAAATGTGGAAAAACAACACATTCAGAAAAGCACGTAATGATGTTCATGTGTGTGGAAAATGTGTTTGTACATTTATGAAGGATTTATGTCAGTGCTTGTTGAACATTGCGTACACTTGTATCTATCGCTGTTGCACTGTGACATGTTCCTTCACTACGGACTCACATCCTGTTGTTTGTTTTGACGTTGTGCTGCCACAAATACTCAGATCTGGATTAATCCGCTGCTAAAATTAGTCCCAAATCAATGTTCCTATGGTGGATTAAAAACTACACCCACCAGATGTTTTTTTTAGGAATAACCAAGTCTTTAAAATGAGTCTATATACAGCAAACGGCACATAACACTTCCATTAGTAGAAACACGCTGCATCTTCAGAAACAATGCAGATATAAAAACACAAATGAAAACACATTCAAATGAAGAAACATATTCAGCAACAAAGGGCTGCAAGAAGCTCAATGGAAACCAGGGGACTTTAAAAAGTGACGCACACAGCTGGGACCGGTTGGTGACGTTCAGGGACTTTGGTACATTTGTGTTTTTTATATTTGGATCTGTTCTTGTGTGAAGTGTTTTCGGCAGCTTCATCCCGCAGGCAATAAGACTGTTGAACAACTGAAACAATTTCATAACACTCATCTGCTACTTAGTAATTATTTATCTATTATCTCATATATCATTCCAATAACTTCTATATAGACTCGTATTGCACTATTCCACTTTTTCTTTTCTCACTTTTTGTATTACTTTTAATATGTTGGAGCTATATATATCTCTTTATATTATTTAATAGTGTAACGTTTATTTTCTTGCTGTTTATAGTGTTTATTATTATTATAATTTATTTGTATGTATTCTTAGTTAGCTTCATAAGTTAAAGTAGTTTCTATGCTTTTATTTTGAAGGCATGTTTTGGGCACTGGGCGATTAGAGCACCTGGTGTAATTGTATATATTGGAGTCAGGTGGTCGTGGGAGCCAGAGCATTAGGAGGCAAACGGTTTTTTACCAGGGTGTTTCAAGCCAGCAAAAGGAAAGCCATAGGAAAGGCTTAAGGAAAGCCTAAGGAAAGAGATATAGGAAACCTGTTCGTTGTACTTTGTTAATGGAATGAAATGCACAATGGAGAATCTTGTCTGGACCACGACATAATTACTCTGTATGTTAGTTTGACAATAAAGAACCTTGAACCCTAATGCGTTTGTACCTGTAGGCCACCGTACTACTGGGCTTATATTTGAGAGAAAATACAAAAAACACAATGTTAGTTTTGCATTTTTGGGGGGATTTAATGGCCTTCAAAGTAGTGCCATTTGGTTTAACATATTTTTACATTAGATTTTACCTCGCCGTTATTACCAAATCTGCTCGAACTTTTAATTTACTTCTTATTTTGAGTGTTTGCTCTTCCATATCGTGATAAAAACTCTTGTGTTTATTTGATTTCTTGAGTGTTACACTACTTGATACTAAAGAAGTAGTATTATGGAAGCACAGAGACATAAAGAAAGGGCATTAAAGTGAGATAAAGGAAGGGCAAATAAGGATAAGAGACAGACCCTGGACATGTAGAATCACTCATGAGAAAATAGTCCGAGCATTAGTTGCCCACATTGATCCAATAACCTGCCCTCGTATTTAATATTTAGCTGCAGTAGATTCCTCTTTGAGCCATTAGTCTAACTCGTGATTAGTTCAGTGACACTCAGTCCTGCAGCCGGAGGAATAACGGCCTCATTAACGCCCTCGTTAAACCACACCAGCTCCATAAAGACAAATCGGATATCAGCGCCACCGTCGGTGTGCACATTTACAGAGGAGAGATGGTTACTTCAGGTTTCAGCAGGGACCAAAGATGTGACTGCTGAGTGACATTAACTCCCTCAACACTAGAGATACAGATGTGGAAATAAGGGGGGTTTAGGGGTTGTTTCCACCTGCGTACATGTCAGCGGTCGAACAAATACATCCGTACAAAAGAGCAATCAATGGTCGGATAAAAAGGTCCTCAGACTGATCCATAAATCAGAGCAGAAAGGAAATGTAAGTCCTGGAAACCCCTCCAACTACACGTTGTAATGTGACCTTTTATATCAGAGAGGGTTAGCAATCATCTCCTGGTTAGAAATCATTGTTTCACGACAAAAAGACAATTTATGAATTATTCCCAAGAAACTTAAGAGCACATCTCTGGTAAATCAAAGAGGTCCTTTTTGCACGATTGTTGATGAAATGAAACCATCCAGTATTCTCCAAAGTCATATGGTAAATGGACTCAAAGGGAAATATGTATACAGCCTTTTTCCAGTCATTACGCCCTGGATATTTTGGATTCAGCCTCTTGCACAAGGACACATGGCATGTTGACTGCAGGAGCCGGGAACCGAACCAACGACCTTCAAATCGACCGCTCTACCTCCTGAGAACCATGAGTGTTAGTGGACTACGTTTCTACAGCCCTGGAGAACAGATGTTTGTATGTTTCCGTACCTGGTGGTGTGTAGGCGTCCATGGAGGTCTGGACCACCAGTGACCGCCTCTTGGAAGGCATCGGCACCGCCAACTTCCTCTCTTTGTGTTTGGCGAGGGCCGCCTGCACCGCTTCTGTGTGAACATCTGGAGACACAAGTATATACTTAATAACAAATCTGAGGTACTTCCCTATTTCAGGTTATCCTATTTTATTCATACTATACATTGTAATACCTTTGAGTATATATTTATCTGGGAAAACACAATTCAGACGAATCAAATGACAGATTAAGAACGCATTATTGCAGATTAAAACGGTGTCTTGTAGACTTTACAAGACATATTTAGATGTCCATAAATCGTTACCCTTTACACTTCTTAGATGGTTTCAAAGCCTGGATTAGAGAAAATATATATATCTAATAATGTCATAAAGTAACATTTATAAATAAGTCACAGGTGACATCTTTCTGTCATCATTGTTTCAGTTTATTTGGCCATTAAAACCTTCGTACTTTAGCAGAATTGAGCAATTTGAAGGGAATTTTGAAGTACTTTCACTTGAGTTAACGATCTGAGTGCTACAAACCGATAACGGAAATAAGCCGATTAATTTCAGGCATGGGTATCTTCCAACATATGAGCTTTATTTAGCCAATGAAAGATGTATACTTCAGCAGAATTGAGACATTTGCGGGAATTCTGTTTGAAATGAAGTACTTTTACTTGAATGAACGATCTGAGTGCTACTTACTAACCAATACAAAAATAAATAACCCGATTAGTTTCAGTGTAAACAGAGAGAGAGTGTTAAATAACAGAGAGTGCTTCCAGTGAAAGTAGAGGAGCAGCAGCGAGACCATCAGCTGTGTTTGTGCTGCAGTGTTCTCCACACAATGAGCACCGTGTTCCCATTTATCCACGTTCAGTCCGTGCACACAGAGTCTAAGACAGCGGCTCCCAAGAGGCCTTGTGGTTTTTCCAGAATGGATCGAGTTCGGGGAGTGAAGCAGACGTTTCTGTAAATGAGTGTTTCTAAGAGCGAGATAAAACGCCGCCGTGTAGCCACAGCTGGTTTCGTTTGAACAGTGTCCATCGCTGTCACACACACACACACACACACACACACACACACACACACACACACACACACACACACACACACACACACACACACACACACACACAGATAATGACATCAGTCAGACATGTGTCGGATGAATGGAGCTCACACATGTACGTTTGTTTAACTCGTGCGCGGGGAACAGAGGTGATTTAAATCTCAAGTGCACGTTTATTGTCTTGTGGTTGACCGAGTGTGACGGAAAAGGGTGTAAAAGTAAGTGTGTGTGACGTTTGAAAGGTGCTCACACAGCTTTTCTTTTTCAACTTAATGGGTTAAAAGCTTTTTTTTATGGATTTAAATCCTGTCTAAACAAACTCTCAGGTCGAATCAGGTTTTCCCGCTGATCCAGGAACTCCTGCCTGTTTTCTTGTTAGAGAACTTCCTCTCTTTGCTTCTAAACCCCCGAACGTCACCACTGCACATTCCTACAGATTACTTGAGCATGAGATGCCACTGAAGAGAGGTTTAAATCCTCAGTTAATCCCATATCAATCTTTACTGGACACCAGATGGAACAAAAGCAAACAATGCATGTTGACAGATTTGTCGAAAAGCTTTTTCCACAGATTTCTGCCGAACTCTGGATTTATTCAGCAGATAATGTCACTGTGTGATGATCAGGATGAATGAGTGGATCGAGGTTAAGTGTAGATGTGTTCCCTTGTCTAAAGTTTCCAAACAAACCTCAAATAAACCTCTCTGAACCAATGCACAATTGGACTATAGCTAGATAAATATAAGACCAGCGACGTGCAGTTGGAGCCTCACCTGTCATACTCCAATGTAACGGAAAAACAACTAAAGAAAAACTAAATAGTAATAATAATAAAATGTCTCCACTGATCTGTGTTGTAAATGTGCTTTATGTATGATTCCAATCGCTTTTTAAAGTCAAAGTAAAAATCAGCAAATTTGCCGAGCTCCGCTACAACTACGGGTAGCGATGAGAAGTGAGGCAGGGACGAGCTCTGCCTCTCGTAACCCCACAGAAACTGGCTGGAGCGTGGGCACTAAGCGCATGCCTGTTACCATCTCACTGTAGGTCACCAATGTAATGTTTGTAGATCCCTTTATTACATTTGTCCTCGCCATACATAGTCTCTAAATAACTTATTTCACGTATATATGATATTTAGGCTCGCTGGTCTCATCATATAACGGCAATGAAAAAAGCAGCAGGAGAGGCAGCCATAACCTCTGCCGCACTGAAGGGGGCGCACGTGAGCCCACAGGTTCTTGTTGCTACTGTTATTCTACGAGAGACGGTAGACACAAACAACAAACTAGACTTTTGAAACTACAGGAATATAAGGAGGACTTTTACAAAAAAAACTAATAGAGATTGTTGTCCAGAAGGAGAGCATGGACTTAATCTTCAAGTCAAGGTAAAACCACAATTGTAATGAAAATGCGATCTTACTAAGAGAGAACAATCCAATATTTAGATGTTGGGTATCCTTTTGTTGAACGGTCTGTTTAAAATGAATTGAAGCATCAGACTAAAAAAGCTTTTCAAAATAACCGAATATTTAGATTAAGGTCAAAATATAATATTTGTAAATCTGACTCACCAGCCATGAACCTCACCGCACGTCACTGGATAAGACAGATGTAACATGGGGATCTTCCAACGTGTGAACTCAGAGAAATATATATATTTATATATCTTTATCCGATAACGTCAAGATATTTAAGATAGTATCAGCCGGGCTAAATCCCTCTGATGCGTCACACAAAGTATGTGTTGGGTCATTTTCTCATAGACTTCTATACAAACTATATTTGTCGTAACCATTGGAGTCGACCAGAAAGAAATACGTTTAAGAAAATCAGGTTTCCTTATTGATACGCAGGCAAGACCTCACAATGATAATGACATCCTTACCTGTATTTGGATGAACTAACATTTTAAAAACATGGTACCACTTTAAGCTTGACTTATCATATATAACCCATAATGCTACTGAGGGGAGTAACGAGCCTCATTGACTGTTCCCTGTATAAATAGAGAGTTGATAGACGACCAATGGGCATTCAGACGCAATACAAAGAGACACATCGTCCCACTGATGGAGGGTGAATCTGTTCCTTACCTGATCGGTACCGCTCGTCTCTGGATCCAGAGGAGCGCCGGCGGTGGTACCGTGAGGACGAGGAGGGGGTGACCGGACCTCTCCTCTCCTGGCCCAGCGGGGGGTCCATCCCTGAGACAAAGAGGGGCAGATTTAACATATAATCTTCCTTTAAGGTGAGATAAGATCAACCTTTAGAAACCTTCAGGTGTTAAAGCAGCAACAGGAATACGATGGTAACAAAGGAGAGAACCAGCTGAGAGTTCACACAAGCATGAGTAAATACAAAACAAAGGATTGAAGTCACAGTGTAAACTAAATAACAACAATATACGTATAAAAGTCAAAGATCAAGTGCGAGTCCAGAGTAGGTATACAGTACATCTCCAAATCGAAAATCTATTCTAACTTAAAAACAACGTTAGCATTTTCGTATATTTCTTGTGTTTTTTCTGTATGCTTCTGTACCGTTGCTTTTTCGCATGTATTTGTAAATAAATCATTGATCATTGATCCATGATAGAAGCCTCTCCCAGTGAGAAAGCTACATTTGGAGAATAAACCTGCAGCTGTTCTAGAAACAACAGGAGGTTATTTATTGCAGTTTGGTTTCTGATTTAGACGTTTTACCTCCGCTGCAGCCGAGGCTGTGACTCAGAGCTCAGGGACGTTATTAAGAAGCTTTCAAAACCCTTCAGGCCTGATAGAAACAATTTCCTGCTAAATGTGTAGTCCTTAGTTTCTGAACACACAGAGGTGATGCACATAAACACCATTACTAAAGAAGACTACTTCAATCTGCATGAGAATTATCACGTCTTTAAGTTTTCTTCAGGGTCAAATGATGCAGTGATAGTAGTTTGGACATCTATGGAAACACTGCACACAGGAACTGATCATTGATGATTGGGCGGACGTTGAATGGTGCCAATTAGCCCAAATCAATAATAAAATGGTCTGGAGAATGTTGGAAGCAGTTTTAAAGCACCCAAAAAAGCATGACTCAGCAGAAATCAGACATAAATATTCACACACATTTTTAAGCGAATTAATTTTATATTGAAAACAAAACAAATGATTTGACCACAATGCATTGAACATGGTAGGTACTTAAGACAGCTATGAAACTGATTCCAATAGGATTTTTACAGATTAGTGTGTTGACTGTTTGAATAAAACCTATTCAATTAACTGAAGCACTGAACTCTAAACATTGAACACAATCAATAGCAAAGACAAATAAAAAAATATAAGCTATAAGCTAAAACATACAATCGATAAAACATATACCCATAAATAACTTAATATCTTGAATAATACAAGATGACTCAAACCTGCCATGGGAAATACAGCACACTAGCAGAACCACACACTCGTACAGCCGCACACACACACGATCGATACGTCTGATGATGGTAACTGACAGCTACACAGCGGCTGATCTATGGGCCTCCACCCCCCTTCATCTGTCTTCATTACGGCTCTCAGAGAAGCGGGAAGTTGATTATTCGAGCGTACAAAGAGCGGCAGTTAACGGCAGCTCTGGGAAATTCCTCGCTCAGATGTTTCCTCCGGGGAGTCTGGATGGAGGGATGGATTCCCCAACACCAGAACCACTCTGCTTCCTCTGTAGAAATATCTTTGTCTCAATCCTTTATTCTTACTCTTATTTTGCCAGCAGACACTTCTTGTTGTACTCATTTATTCAACAGTCAAAAATCAGTTAAAGAGTCTATTAATCAACTTTTACATGTTTAGGGATAATAAAGTCCATTTGTCGGTCTTCCACTTTGATTGGATTATCTCCACTACTACATGTCCCCTGTTTCCCTACATGTTCCCTGTTACAGTCCTTTTGTACTTTCTTAAACCTTTCCTTCGAATATTTTGTTAATTGTAAGGTGTCCTTGGGTGCTTTGAAAGGCGCCTCTAAATAGAATTAATTATTATTATTACTCTTTGATAGATGGCTGTGAAATTTGGTGCAGAATGCAGATATCAATAATGCCCAGAAGACAAATCTGACTGATTTCCAAGTTTCTCTGAGTTCTTCTAAAGTTTCACCAGAAGGCCAACGTTTTTACTTTTCCTTTGAAACATGTCCGCATCGACAGGATGGATTGGCACAACATTTGGTACAGAGATTCACGGTTCCAAGAAGATTAATCCTAATAAATGTGGTTATCTTCTGACATTTTATGAGGCTGCATCATCAGTTCAAAGTTTCAATCCGTCCAAAACATTGTATCATTGCTAGTTAGCAAATAGCATGCTACGGTATCACGGTGAACATTGCTTGGTACCCGTTAAAACATTTTGCATTAATATATTTATTAATACTAACACACCACCGCATATCTTGTAATGTACACAATTGTTTACATATGTAATGTTGTTAATTAATGTACAATGTGCACATTTTTACTTTAACTTCTTATGTTAATGTGATATTAAATTCTTTATTCCACATTTTCACCTATTTGTTATGATCTTTGTATGTTTATAGAAATAATGTATTCAATGTATTTGTATATTTATTGCACACTTTCATTACATCATTTTAACTTGACTTCTCATTTTAAAATACATATTTGTAATTGTATTTATTTATTATTAACAACCTAATTTCCCCGTGAGATAACTTAATATGTGTTATTCTGATTTTGATGAACCCTTCATACGAACAGACTCGACTCATACTTGCAGGTATTTTGTATCCTTTGTCATAAAGATGAGGTTTTTACCACTAAAACTGATGTAGGAAGCTGACGTTCAATTCATAAATCATCCACTTAATGACATGTTCATTTTCCAGTTTTTCTCCATCGGTCTGACACTCCTTACAACAAACACTTAACCAGGATTACAACCAGTCGCACACACACTGAAACCTTAAAGAAAATCAATGCATGACTCTCATTTATTCTACTGCAGGTAGAAAGAAACTAAATCCAATAAAGACCTGATGAAGTATAACACACTAAAACCAAAAGTGTCTTAACAACCCTAAAGGGTAACACAAGACACACAGTATCCAGATGTTTCACGAAACTAAAGCATGTTTTACTTCGACCTGATTTTACACACATCATTTTAAATAAACTTACCACCATGGAAATAAATATATTTTAAAAAAAAACCATACAAAATAATATATACAACAAAATATTTAAAATAATATCTATTCAAAAGAGAAAAGAAAATGACATTAAAACATAGTGTAAATATAAAATAAAAAATATATATACAGCACAGTATATTCAATTGTATATTCAGCTCTTCATAAAAGTTAAATATTTACAAAAAAGTAATAAAATATTTCATTTTTTAGGCGGTAAAAATACAGAATAATCAGATTTGAGATCTACATTAATTCCACAAAATGTAAATGTTTTTCAAACTACTTAATGATTATAATGGGATGGGTTTAATCCTGTATTGTTGTTTTAAGTTTGACAGATTGTGCATTGTTCGTTTCTAGTGAGTAGCTTTCAGTCGGACAAATTGCCCGTTATTACTGGCATTATCTGATGCAAGCTGCAGCAACATGTTTGGGATGGCATGCAGAACATGTCACAGAGAAATCGGCTGCAGTGTGTTGCCTTTCTGTCAGATAAGAATCTTAAATGACAGATTTGCTGCCAGCTATGCAGAAGTGTGACTGATTCTGAAAACAATGAACACTGCCAATAAAAGTCAAGCACAACCTGACACGAGGAAGTGGCCTCAACATGAGAGGTGTTCCAAATTCAATGCCGTCATTATCTGCATAATTATAGAAACACGCTCACTAAAATAAGACTTTAAAGACAGGGATTCAGATAGTTTGTAAAGTCTTTAAAAATAAAATGGCTTGCTTCCTGTTGTGGCTCCATTTAAAACGGTTTCCTCTTATTTGGTTCCACTTGTAGGGAAGATAGAGTTCAATTGGAGCAACGCCAAATATGTAATCTCTATACCTACTAATGTGACCCAGGTCAGGTGAACGAGTTCAAGTTTTAAATGTTAAAAATATATGGAGGAACCATGTATTCGATATTGAATATTCAGATCATATTTACCTGGGTTTAAATGTAGCTTCTAACTCCAATCCAGATATAATAAGTACATCTAACTGGTTTTAAAAAGGAAATAACTAGAAAAGCATTCACGTATGAAGGACTAACAAAAAGTACCACTACTATGTCAATTTTCTGGAGGTAATAAACCGTCTGAAGAGGTTTGAACTTCAGTAATTTCAAAATAGAAACCTTTACCGTTTACTTCCACTTCTTTGAGGTTTTAAGAAATTGTTAAAATGCAGAAAAAACGTTTTTATAACCCAAAAACAGAATAAAAAGAACAGCAAGTTCCCAATATATACATTATTTATCTCCGAAATAACCAAAGTGATTGGATCTCAATGAACAGTTAGTGTTAAGCACTTCTACTTACATTGTTTTGTTTTACACTTCTTAAAGTTTTCCAGCATCGTACAGCTGTCAAAAATCCCCGTTTCCTTAAAGGCAGATCTTCTCTTTTCAATTAGTGATTGGATCTCAATGAACAGTTACATGTTTTACATTTATATTCAATTTAATATCTAATATTCCATGCCTCACATACTTATGTATATACACTAACTTGCTTTATATTTGTTACTGTACATTTTTGTAATTCAACATGTATATTTTCTACTTTCTTGTTTATTCCTAGTATTTACATTT